AGTGAAAGAGATGTCATATCTAATGCAATAAGCTAAGTACAACAAAGCGCAAAGTTGAACTTAAATATAGAACTTCGGATTCCATAACCTCTTCAAGGGTTTCATTTGTTTATAACGTATGGAAGATCATAGGTATACTCAAAGGAAACACCATCTGGATGTAGTTTGACTGGTAGACTAAAGTACCGTCAGAACAATGCTTCAACTTCAAGTCAAGGCATAAATAAGTTTTGCCAAGATCCATCTCAAATTTCTTCTTTAGGTGCAAGGCAGTTTTCTCAAGCTCTTCTATAGTCTTAATGAGATTCATGTCAACGACATAAACTATAACTCTAGCAATTCAAAATATGATTCATCGTTTAACACGCAAGGGCATAATTCATATCCCTAACTGATCAAATAATCACTTTGACGAGTATACCACATCCTTTAGATCACTTTAATCTGTAAGTGAAAGCCTCAAACGAGTTAAGAAGGTGTTCCATGGTCTAGAACTATTTGAACCAGTCCATGTAATCCTTCAGAAACTTTCATGTAAATCTCCGTATCTATATCCCCATGGAGAAACACTAACCACATTCATAATGTTGTTGTCAATCACATGGCATTTGAGAGAAACCTTGCGTTGTAAGGCGTGCATTACATTGCACTATTTCATTCATCTCATTACGCTTCCTTTCCCATTAGTAACAGGACAAGGTTACCTTGCGCAGTGTAGGAACGATAGATCCAAACACACTTTGGTAAATAATTTAACCTAGATAGTAATTTCGGTTGTCCAATTAGTTCTACGTTGTCTCTAATCAATGGAACTCAGTTCGATATCGTCGATTTTCATTTACGTCGGTAGCTACCATATAAGTGAAAACATCATTGATGATAATCTCATCCCAATTCTATTATCTCATCCAAACTAGTATACTGGACTAAGAACTTCAAGTCTCGGGAGTAATCTGGATTAATCTTATGAGATAGAAATGATTTGAGACAACGATCAAGTATGAATTCATGTTGTGTCGTTACCTTCCTTTTCTAGGGAAGTGAATTATATGAATCAAGTCATATGTCGTGCTTCATGTCAAGAAAGATTGATTGGCTTTTCACCGATGTACCGGACCGTCTAACAAATGTGCCCAAATCGTCCAATAGGGACGACACACCCTTTGGGGATGTTGACTCAATGTCCATTAAGTACATCCATCTTTGCAGGCATAGTTGCAGCTGGTATATGATCTCATCACTTTAGCTAAATCAGAGGAATGTGTCTCGAGTAACATTTTGAAAGCTAGAATACATCGCATTCATTATCAAACTTGTGCGGTACATGGATCAAGATGAGACATAGTGGGCAATGTCCACGCAAATTCGTGTCGTTCTACAGGAATGTTGACGTTCTTATCTCCCCCTAACGGTAAGAAGACTGTCTCATTGAAGTGACAATCCACAAAGTGAGCGGTAAGAAGATCGTTTGCGAGGGCTCTAAAAGAGCTAATGTGAAGAAGAATCATAATCGACAAAGATTCAAAACCTTATGTGAGGACCCATATTGGTACATTGCGGCAGCGCAACTTGGAACATAGAATGCACACCCAAAATGCGTAAGTACCCAGTAACCAACTATAACGTCAAATAGTTTGGTGGCAATGGGCCTTAAGGCAAACCAACATAGCTGCGTACAAGATTGCATAGCCCTAAGTAGAAATCGAAAGCTTGGTGAGTTCACCAAGGTTCGGGCGATCATTTATATTGTTCTTTATAATCACGCTACGAGGCTATTTTGGGTTAACATGGGAATTTAGTGTCCAATTATAAACCCAAAATACATGCAATACTTATCGAAAACCTTCGATATAAACTCTCCGACATTATCCAGTCTTCTAGACTTTATGGAACAATTAGGGTAGTGAAATCCAACTTATTACGATTTGACAATCAATTGAATGGAGGGAACAAGATTGTGATTGGTGCTGTGCAAATAAGATATCCATATGCATCAAAGTTAGAACATTCGGGTTCTAAGACATGATTTACATGAAAAACTTCGGGTTTCCATGGGTGTATTGTTTTATGAAAACTTCGGCTTTCAAAAGCACTAAGTTCAAAACTACAGGTTTGGGTTTAGTTATGAACTTCTAGTTCATAAAAGGAGGTATCTGCAAGAACACAAAATACAATATGCAACTAAGTGTAGTGGAATTGTGGTTGCTTCAGGAACTCAAGTGTGAGTGCTTTGGAACTACGAAAGGGAGTCAGCCGTTCAAAGAAAAGAAATAAAATATTGAATCATTAATGTCCAAAAGTGGGCTTCAAGCCAATAATTTTGGATGTCTTGTCAAATTAGTAGATTGCCGGTCACTTTAATTAGTTCAATAGATCAAGACCATTCGGAGTCGATCCTAGAGGCAAAATAATACAAAGTTTCAGGCCATATTTTGGGCTAGATGGTGTAGGCCATGCAAAAATAAATAAAAAATAAGCCCAAAAATTGATTAAGGCCATGACATCGGGGCACCACAATATATAGGTGCAGGCTTAAAGAAAAAAAAAAGCCAAAAATGGCTTTGGGTAGAGAACAAGAGGCAGCCCAGTATTGGTTGCTGGCTGCTGTCAAATCTGCAAAGCTAAGCAACTGCAAGCTATGGGTCGGTCTCGTGAGTGGCTACTGCATGCAGCCCAACAACCTGCAAAACCAAGCTTGTAAGCTTGTTGCAATCACGGGCCGAGAAAAAGAAAAAAATATGGCCCATAAGATAGAACGGGTCAAGGAGCAGAGGCTTAGAGCTGCAGGCTGAAATGATAGGCCCATTATTTTAGGCAAGGGCTCGTTGTGCCACAACAAGTAAAGTAGCAGGCTGGCTGCTGCAACGCAGGCCGAGCAACAATAAGGGGACAAGTAAAGCCTTCAGTCACTACAGAAGATAACGTGTTGTAGGCCTAATTTACTGAATAATATAAAGAACAGAGAAAGGGGGTGCGGGGGCATAGAGAGAAAGAGAAATATATGTAATTGTGAGGTGTGTCTTATTCCATCCCATTGTGCCATTATTTATAGTAATAGGGAATGTAAATTTCTTACCCCAATAAGATTACAACTCTAATAGGATAATATCTAGTCTAAGAGATATGGTAGAATCCCATAAGGATATCCTAGATATGATAGAATTTACACGATCACATTCCTAATCTAATAGGACTGCAACATCAACGTTATAATTAATACATTTATTTTTATTTTTAATTTGTACCCATTTTTCTAATTTCAATCATTTTTTTTTTAATCTATACCAATTTTCTTTTTAGTTTTAATTTGTACCGGTATATTTAATTTCTTTTTTTGCTCATATTTTAAAACTTCTATTTGTAACTGTAACTTTTTTAATCTTTTATTTGTACCCTTAATTTATTTAGAATATATCCATTTTCATAAATAAAAAAATATATCACTTTGTTGTATATAAGATGTAGGAGTGGGTACTTGGAACCGAAAACTGAAACATGAACATCAGACTACACTGAACGGTTCAATTTTGGGATTTTGAAACCGAGCAGTACTGCAGAAAATGGTTTGGTTTTGGTTTTGGCTTTTGAAAGCCGCACCAAAACCGAAACACACCTCAAATTATGTCATGTTTTCTTTGCAACATCTGAGCATGCATGACAGTAGTAATTTCAAAGGCTACATTGAGAACCCCGAGTCAATGTTGCTCTAAATAGACGGCTTTTTGATGTTCGTCTCAAATAATTTTTACTTTCCCTTGTGTGATTTGTCAAGTTTAGGGGCTTGAATAATGATATCCCAGCGGTTCTTCCCAATTATCGACTTCGGCTTCAGATGATTATATCACTGAGGAAACCGGTTACTAGTGTTCATTAATTCAAATTTGGCATAGCTTGTGAAACAAAAGGGGTTGATAATTTCAGGCATCAAATTTCAGACAATAATTTTGACCAATTGATAATTTCATATTTACTAAAGCAAGGGTACTTCAAATAGGTTATAACAGTATTAATGATTCAATTTGGCATATCAGGTGTAAATTTCTCAAAAACCGAGCCGATACTATTTGAAACCACATGAAACTGAATCAAACAATTTGGTTTCATTTCGGTTTTGGTTTCAAACCCTCACGTCACCGAACAGCAAAAAGCTTCATTTTCAGTTTCGGTTTTACTCAAAACTGCACCGAATCGAACTGTGTCCATCCCTAATAAGACACCCATTTTTTTGAAGTGAAATCTGTTCAACTTTTTTTATAGATGTACCCATAACTTTTAAAATGTCCTTTTTTAACCTAAAACGTACCGGTATTTAAAAATAAAAATAAAGCATTTTATTATGAAAAAATAACAATCTTGTCAGATTTCACACAATTCAAAATTAGAAAAAATATTATCCCTTTAAAAAAAATTCTTATTATTACGAAAATGGGAGTTTCAAATCCAGGACGCATGGGTAGAAACCAAGATCCTATCCACTAGAATATTCAATCACATGTGCAAAAAAGTAAAATCCCTACACTACCAAAAAAAAACACAACCAAAGGAAAGAACTTTGTCGGCTAAAACCTTCAGTCGTCACTACATAGTTAACCGTCGGAGGTTCGTCGAAAAAGAATAGTCAGTCAAAACCTAACGACCGAAACTTAAACTACGAATACAAATTTTCTCGGCCAAATATACGTTAAACCAATGAATGCAATTGTTGGGCGAATATGCGTTGACTGAATTAAGCCAATAGAAGCAACTCAAAAAATAGTATCTCATCGGCTAGCACATAATTAAAAAATGTAAAGAGATTGATCTGACGGCCTAGTCGTCGGGCAAACTCTACAAAACTAAACTTGAAATTCTGTTAAACTTCTGCTCGACAAAAAGTCTGTCGGCCTATTTTTTAAATTAAAAAATATGTTAAAAACACAGTTTATATTAAATTATTTATTTAATTCTAAATTTTAAAAACAATAATTATAATAAATAAATAAAAGTAATGATATTTACAACTAAAATAGAATTGTTCATACTATTATATTACCAAGACTAAATTAAAAAAACGTAAACTATTATGGTGGTTGCCGGGGCGATTGGCGAAATGGCTACAAAAGCTCGGTTGGGAGCTTGGGAATCCTGATGACAGAAGCTAACAAGGACTGGGCCACGACAGCGATGTACAAGTGCATTAATTCTCGATCTTTTACAACAGCATGTGTCAAGCGCTCACCTTTTTCCCTTTGGCATGCCAACTCTGTCTACAATTGCTTAAGTCTGGAATCAATCTCGGTCGATAGATTAGAGCTAGCTGAAGATGAAAACCTTCTGACTTCCTGAATCCGACCTATTCCTAGGCCGCAAACCTCCTTGCCTTTCCTTCACCCAACCCCATCCATGAGCAAATAAAGAGACAGCTCTGAATTAGGTGTCAGCTCTTCCATAGGCACATCCAATTGTTGCTAGGAAAGGTTGGCTAGGTACTCATCCTTCTTCTGAATCATAGAACCCCACAAAAAAAAAGGGAAATAAAGTAAGATTATCGATAATAATTTAAACCTTATTTATTGTAATGAAATTTACAATTTAAACATAGAAATGAATATTTACATCAATTCCATTCACAACCTCGTTGCCCCAAACCACCACCTGCGGGAAATGCTCCTCAGCCGCTTGCCGTTTCTCTACCCAATAAGATAGGTGTCGAGAACGAAGTGGTGAAAGTACGACTTCTTCTCCTAGTTACCTATATGTGCCGCCAATCTTTTATGTCCATTAAAATATATTAATTTAAATTAAATAAAAGTATAAAAATTGAGCTTAAATTAAATATAAAAAAATTTGATTACCTGATATTTTTTACGCTAAAAATTAGTGCACAACCACTGCCACTCAGCAACTATCTTCACAAACTCTTGGGGTGGTTCTATTCTGTAAGAGTTACTTCAGGCATAGGAAAACTTTCGTAACACTCTTGTAGCTTGTATCTCCACTCCTTATATCAACCGCTCTACACCCAGTCTGTGTAAGCAAAAAAAAAGCTTTGTCCCGCTCATTCCACTTGAAGTTGGCCTGAAATATCCAAAAAAAAAAAAGAGGTTTCGTTTAAAACCACATAAAATAAGTTAATGGAAAACAAATATTAAAGTAAGAAAGTTATTGTATAATTATGGAAATCTCTCGGTTCATCTTGGCACGAATCGGGTCCTTGTGCGTCTTCCATGAATTGGCATCCAGGGGGCATTTGGTGCGGATGAGGCCACCACAATCATGAGTCAACAAACTATTAACTTTAGCACTCGTTCGGCAGTACTTGGGGAAGTATACAACTCGGAACCTCTTATGTGTGACCAAAATGATCTGGTTGGTCGCCAACCCTAGACAAATCCTCTAAGATCTTTTACTCCTCAGGCCGGTGGGGAGGTTTCCATTCCCCTCATCCTCCACAGTCGCTGAATTGGCCTCTGCGTTGCCCGGAAAAGGTTGGGATGAGGGCGGGGGCAAGTGTTGGCATAGGCTGGTGCCAATTGCTATTGTGGAGCCGCCTAGCAGATCTAACGACCTAGGTTAATGACAGAGACGTACTCGCGCCGACAACTAACTCTGTAGTGTCCGTTTGAGTCTTGTTGGCCGCTAAGGTGGCACTAGGGCTGACTGCTCACTTTGAGCAGAGGTGGAAGCAGAATGGCGACCACTCGTGATCAAACACGAAGATATTTGTGGAAAAGATCACATAATTTCCAAAATTTGCTAAAATTTCCTAAAAGTTAACAATTTCTAAAATTGCCTAAGATTTCAAAAAAAAATCTAAAATTCCCTAAAATTTCTAAAATTCCACAGAATTTCTAATGTATTTCAAAAGTTTCACATATTTCTAGAATTGCCTAAAATTTCAAACAATTTCTAAAATTGCCTATCATTTCAAGTAATTACTAAATTTCCTAGCATTACAAATAATTTCTAAAATTGGCTAGCATTTCAAAACTTTCCTAAAATTTTATAAAACCTCCTAAAATTTCATAAAACCTCCTAAATTTCCAAAAATTTCAAAAGTTTCACCATCACCCACCCCACCACCACCACTACCCATGGCCACACCAGCATCATCATTCTCACTCACCACCACCATTTCCCCGTGGCCAATACCCACGCGCCCTCACCCTCACCACTATACAGGTCCTCATACCCACCCTACCCCACCATACACGTCCCCGTACCCACCTCATCCCACTGTACGAGTCCCTGTACCCATCCCACTCCACAAATCACAAAATATTTCAAATCAAATCACACAATAAACAATCACAATTTCAATTGAAATCCTAACATAATCAATCCACTAATCACAATCTCTTAACAATCCTCACAACTTCGAAATGAAAAATAAAAAATAAACACTAGGGGGAGAGAGAGAGACTTCCAATTGTTAGGAATAAGGTAGAGAGAGGATTTGAGAGAGAGATTACTGAGAGAGAGAGAGAGGGAGAGAGAGCTTGTAGAGACTTTGCAGGAAGAAGAAAGAAGAAGGTTCTGGGGTTATAACTTTTTAAACATTTGCCCAACAAAAGGTTCTTCGAGCAAAGGTTTTAAAAATTTTGACACGTGTTCAAGACCTAACATTTCGTTGGGGCAAACATAAAAACTCCATTAGGCTACATTACCAGAAATATTTAAATTGTTGAAACAAAAATGGGGAGAAACCAGTTTCGTAGAACGCATGCCCTCTTGTAAGGAATGGATTCCAAAACACTTAAGAGTTTATTATATGTTTTTGTTATATCCACTATTTTAAATATTTTAAATTCATGATCAGGTTTGTTCATCTTATTCTTCTACATTTGAAGATTGTATTTGTAAAAAAATGAACAAAATCGAAGCTAAAATGACTGTTAGATTGTGAATTTTAGTTTCTAACTATCGAATGTTTTCATCGTGTTACCTAATCTACAACATTTTTTATTTGGGTCATTTTTGGCATAAAAGATCTCGAAGTATTTGCAAACATATTTGACGGTTAGATCGTGGAAACTAGTTTCATAGAATGTGTGCCCCTTGTAAAGAATTGCTTCCAAAACACTTTTGTCCTATACTTTCATTAAGTATAATGTAAGTTTTTGTTGTATCCACTATTTTAAATTTATGATCAAGTTCATTCATCTTATTCTTCTACAGTTGTAAATTTTAGTTTCTAACCGTCAAATAATTTTGTCATGCTACCTAATCTCCCAACGGCTTTTTTGGGTGATTTTTGGTGTAGGAGATCTCGAATTATATGCAAACATGTTTAACGATTGGATGATGGAAACTAGTTTCATAGAATGCCCCCTTGTAAAGAATGGATTCCAAAACAAGAATATTCTTTACTTCCATGAAGTATAATGACACACCCCGACCGAAGTTGAGACGTGCTGGCCGTCACGTGAGAATGACGTAACCATGTGCGCAAAGCGGAAGCGATAAAGAGTAATGGAATATACAAACAATTTAAAACCAAGCAACTAACAATCCCAATTAAGAAAGGATGATAGTGGGAGTGTAAGTGTATAATTACACTTTCAGAGCAATAAGAAAGTCTAGTCGCAGTCAATTAGGACAATTACTAAGATACAACACCCGAAGGTGAATCCTACTTTTTCGGATTCTGTCAGAACACCGTTGGATTCCTCATGGCCACCCAACTCTGTTACCTAAAACCTGGAGGGGCAAAAAACAAAGTTGAGTGGGTCAGTAAAAACATACTTACACGAAAACCTTATTTTTTTTCTTTGAATATACTAACCCCTCGCCGTAAAACAAGTATATAGTTACTTTCCCAAAAAATAAAATACATAAATATGTATATATCTCAAATCATGCTCAATAAATCAAGATTCACATTGTATATATATATATGCCATGCTCAATAATCATAAAAATACCAAAAGTAAGCCAGATGATGCAATTCACAATAACCATCTACTAGCCGAAGTCACTTAACGTGATCTATACGGCAAAATCTAGAGCTCATCTCAATCACAACATCAATCTTATCTCATCATATAAACCATCATGTATATACGTCACATATCTCATCATATCAATCATCATGTATATACATATCTGTACACGAGTCGGAACCACCTCGCGTGGTCTAACCGTCAAGACTGGGTTTAAAATAATAATACGCTCTAGTGCTACGATCACGTGAAGATTATGCGAATAATCATAGGTCACCTACGAGTCGGACCCACTCAAAGTGGTCTATACGACAGGACTGTGCACCTAACTTGGATCCAAGATAAGCGTGTGGTGTGGGAGGTGAACATCATGTGAAAGACTGTGCCCCTAACTCAGGGCAAAAGCACTAACATCGGGGTGCAGGTTAATGAGCTCCAATATACATCTCAACATCATCATCATCATATCTCATAACCATTACTAGCACAACACCTGTAGCTTACCTAGGCCTCCACAGCACCATGCAACAATATGCATAATTATGATAATGCATATGCTAAAATACGAGGCATATATGACATGGCATTTGAATCACATTTCCTTTAAATATGTTTTCTGGGAAAAACGTCAAGTAGATATATATATATATAATATATATATATATATATATATATATATATATCTACTGAAAATAACTGCCCACTCACAGATATGCAGCTGGGTCATAACCCCCATGCCTAGCCTAGCTATGCTCGTCCTCCAGATAGGTCTCGCCTATAGGAGAAGTACTGAAATAACGTTATTTTAAAGTACATATACTAAACTATGTAATAACTTTTCATCCATAGCTCAAATTAGGTATATGAATATACCACAGTGACCTACACAACCTCAGGATCATCCATAAATTTTTAGAATATTTTTCTGACCTCCCATGCACCGGCATGGGCACGGCCCTACCCGCGGCCACCTGACAGGCATACTGACGGAGTCAGTTAACGCCGTCAGGAATATTCTGGGGAATATTCCATCAAATCCCAACGATAACAGTTAAAAGTAACTGACGGCGTCAGAATATTCCATCAGACTTGACGGAATATTCCGTTGTCTTCAACCTCTGAACTCCGGCAAGTCGCCGGTCACCGGAAAACCAGGAAAACTTCTAATCCTTATATCTTCGTCGTTTCTTAACCAAATTTAATGAAATTTGTACCCAAACAAAGCTTACAACATTTAGAATAAAATCATACCAATTTCAAGCTCCCAAAACCACTGGATCTTGCCTGAGAATCCCCGAACTTCCAGCCAAAACTTTAAACTTGCATATCTCGATATCCCGACGTCCAAAAACCTCCAATGAAGTACTCTAAGCCTCGTAAGGATCTCCTTAAACTCCCTGTGAGCTTGAAATTTCCAAAAACATAAGATTTAACGTTTGCATGAACAGTACCTCAAAATGGGGTTCGGATTTCACGAGTTTTCGAAGGTTTCCTTACCTGAAAATGGTACCTTTGAACTCATATGGTCCTCACGAACACAATGGTGTGCTTCACACCCTCAATCTATCACGTTTCAATGGGTTTTGGGTGTAGTCTGTACAAGAGAGAAGAAAAGAGAGAGAGAGAGTGAGTCTGAGAGAGAGAGAGAGAGAGAGTACGGGAGGGTGAGAGAGAGAAAGTGAGGTGTAGTGTGTGTGTGGTCCAAAAGTCACCAACCAATCACCACCCATTTCCTTAGTTCCAATTGGTCCTAAAAACTTAGGAATTTAACATATTAGTCCATTTCTAATCGCATGTCACACACAACACATCTCAACGCATAAGGTCATTTTAGTCTTTTCACATCAACAATAATTATTTCTCGGGACGGGTTGTCACATATAATGTAAGTTTTTGTTGTATCCACAATTTTAAATATTTTAAATTCATGGTTGGGTTCATTCAACTTATTCTTCTGTGATTGAGTTTGCAAAAAACAAAAAAAAACAAAAAACAAAAAACAAAAAAACAAAAAAACAAAAAAAAAATGGAGCTAAAACGACTATTAAATCGCGAATTTTAGTTTCCAACTGTCGAACGATTTTGTCTCGTTACCGAACATCCCAATGTTTTTTTGCTAATTTTTAGCGTTAGAGATTTCAAAGTATATGCAAACATGTTTAATGGTTGGATCTTGGATTGAGACTTTTCCAGAATAGTGGATTTTAGTGATCTGAAAAAATGGAGGAAGAATGGGTATTTATTAAGTAGATGTGGAGATTAATCCAATGGTAGGGATTGAAGCAAAGATTAGGGTTTTGTTTTCACATGTTTGGATATGGGATCCCTCAAATGATGACAATTGGACTTCACTTATACTCATCACTACTCATGCATCATTAAGTACAATGTAGTATTTCGTGAAATAAAGCTTAGCCATGGGGTTTAGAACTTTAGAACCCAATACAAAAAAAATTGAGAAAAGAGAGAAATTTAAATGATATCAGCCAATGTTATGATACAAGACAAATCCGATTTTTCATTGCCTCATGCATTTGTTGGGGATTTTAAAACTCTTAGAGTTTATTTTATACTTTTGTTGGGGGACTTTTAGGTCAAGGTTGACTTGGGCCTTGAGAATGTCCTCTTGTCTCTCTTGGTTCGAATTCGTACCAAGTCCCGAAATATCTCAAAAGAGTTAGCTTGTCTTAGGAAATACCTCGATAATATCAACGGCTTGAAGATAACATGATTGATCAAGATAATA